CAATGGCCCAAAGACCAGAGTATCGCATCTGGGAGATCTAGGATGCCAGCCACGTACGCGCCTGTCCAACTGCCCTGAGCTCTCCACCAAGTTCCCATACGCGCCCCTGTTGCTACCCAACGGACGAAAGAGACCGTTTGGGCGTTGGCAGTCGCGCGCGGACTTTGGAGCCCATGAGTCGGCATGGTAAGAGAGGGTTTCCGCCATCGAGTTAGCCCTGGTCTTGCCGAATCCCTTCCAAGCTCTCATTTGGGTAGGAATGTTGTTTTCTCGCCCAAGATGCAGCAGCCAGCAGATACTTGCTCATGCACCAGTCCAGTCAAAACTTTCTAGGCTTTCACTCGGAACTTCGTTTGCGGCCTTCGGCCACACCTGGGTCTCTAAATGATCAGAGAACCCGATCAGTCTACGGACGTCCTTTGCGCTCGCTCTGTGTGAATCGTAAGCGACAGGCTCCTCGGCTCCTTTAGGCTTGGCTGAAGCGGGGAGACCGGCTGCCAGGGAGGTAAGATTCGAAAAGAGCATGACATGGCTTTCCACACAGCTCTGGCGCGCAATCCTGACAGAAGTACATAGAAGTCCCGACTCATTGTCCAAGATGGCTGCATCTTCCTCCCCCCCTTTTCCCGGGTTGATGGTGAAGGCTTTCGCCCTCAGATGTGAGCCTGTCCCTCTGGAAATACACCATGTAGCCTAAGAAGCCAATTTGTGACAGCCCAGAGAGTATAGCAGTGTCAGGTCTGCCAGCTCAGTGCATTGGGCTTCGCCTTGGCCGTTGTCGCCGAACCTATTCTTGAGGAACCCCGCAGCCAGCTCACCATATCTAGAAGTGTTGCTTTGGGCGTTCTGATGCATCCCGTGCACCAACGAGGTCAGGCCGCCAACAGGCGGGAGCATGAACGACGACCTCATTCAGTCTTACCGGGTCGTCGATGGATAGCCCATACAAGTCAGGCAACGAGCATTCATATAGCACACGGACGTCACATGCTCTTATCAGAGCCTGCCTCTTCATCGGGCTCGTCAGATTTTGCGCGAGTTGTCTTACTCGCGGGCTCCGCTGTCGTTGACGTTTCGTTGTGACACCGACTGAGACTTCAACTGGAGACGGGGGCGGACTTTGGCCTTCTCGTCATTTCTGTTCGATACGTCACCTGACCGGAGATAGTGCGGAAGCCAGAAGCATGCGTGTATCACAAGCAGGTTTTCATGGCTGGGCCTGGCCATCCATTATGTGGCAGAGAGTAAGGGGCGAGAAATTGGGGTGCTGAATTTTGCGAGGCGCCCCGAAGATTCTGCGCAGTTGCGGCGGCAACAGTGTACCTCAGCTCCAGTGCGATGCCTTGTAGGCTGCTGCTAACGATGTCCTTGATTGTTCTGTCAATGAATCCAGTCGTTCGAGTCACTACAGACTGCCCAGGTTGCTGTGTGGCCAGATGTAGACTGCCAGGGGGAGATCTAGGTCATCGTGACACTACGCCCAGCGCATGCGTGCAAATGCAGTCGCTAGATACTGAGTAATGGCTACTTCACCGTGTTTTCAGGCAGCGATAAGATCGATTTGCAGTACACAACGTTGTCACCTTCTCAAAATAACTGGCATCGGAGATGCCATGTGCCATTGGGTCACCCATCCAACGACAGCTGAGAATGACGAAGATCAATAGAGCAGTCCGCCTCCCTACGAGCTACTTTTACGGCCACCCTGACTGCAGGTCTTAGCTAGAGCCAATCATGAACGTGGATTTGAGACAGGCGAAGAGTGGTTCTATTGTACGTGCCCCGGAGCAGCCGGAATAAAGACACGGTAGGAAGTTGTCCACGTCAAAACACCTTGCCCGGCCTCATTGCATGCATGCATTTTCATTGGTCCGATTTCTCATGGTATTATGGGCACAGCTAGGTCATTCTGGTCAAACACTCCAAATCCTGGCTCATAGAAGTCGCCGGTTAGGCACGTCGCCTTCACGAACCGCAGCGAGATATGGTCAAAATGGTGACTGAGGGGACCATGAGTGGTGATACCACGAAACCAGTCACATCATTCTCTTCGGTCTGGCTATCCAGTCATTTATATGGCCGCCATCCACCAGTAACCACGAAAGTCGGGCCCAGGAGGCGTTGGGCTCCAATAAACTTCGCCTACGACTCTGAATTGCTTAGGATGCGAACCACCATGCCCGTGGTGGGGGAAGCCGCGCTCTTGATCTATCCAGACTTCATGATAGCTGAAAGTACCGAATCCTGAAATCTCATTCCACACTGTGTTGTGCTGTTTCGAAAACGCTTGTGGTTTCGAGACCCAGCGAGTCCGCAGCTTTTGCCAGGCCAGCGATGCCCTTCCTTTTACATGCAACCAACCGGGACAGGATGAGCGTGCTACATTGCGATATTCGACCGACTCTACCCTTTCGCTGAGTGAGTTGTGGCGAAGGACGACGACCTGCGTGTATCAGAGAAATTCAAAGTGACGAAGGATAGGCCTCTGAACGTTACCTTGGTTGTGTTCACGAATAGAATCGAGTCTGGGTTTTCCTTGCAGCTTTTGCTGTCATGCTCAAGCCAGCGAAATAGACTGAGAATATTGTCGTCCATGAGTATCAGCAAGGGCCTTCTCATATGAGATTCAGGAGTCTTCCCGTTGACGGAGGGAAGCGATGGCTCAGCTCCCAGTATCGAAGCGGGTAAAGGGCCTCATAAGAATGAGCAACTGATCGCCACAACAGCCTAGCTGTCCGCAAACAGTACTCTGGTGTCCTGTGAATTGAGTTTACCCATGGATGGGCTCGCCTCGGCCTCGTGCGAGTCGTGACGAGAAATCGATGTTGACCGCCCTAGCGTGGGGACAGTCACACTGAACTGTTGCTCCACAGCCATCTGAGGGTAATGATGTACGATTTGCAATCCAGTAGAAACTCCCGACAGTCTATCGCAGCTCTACTCTGAAGCTTGAGACGCAAGACCGACGTCAGAAGCGATGCACAAAGCATTTTGTCAAAAGGAAAGCCCCCTATCTTACAGCCACGATATGTACAGAGTTTCCGGATCACAACGATGCGTCCTGCTGGCTTTGGGTATGGGCCTGTTGCACCCAAGGACACGCAAAGCCTTCCAAAGCGAGATCGACTCCTTGTCCACGAAGCCTCCCCATCGCCGCCGGTTGCAACTCAAAATTCCAGTGGACACGGTCTAGCATTGCTATTCTGTTCAGTCAAATCACACCTGCGGCGAGAGACTGTTCTTACCGATTGATCATACTCTCCCATACAACCTCAGTGGGTCGTTTGCAATCGCCACACTTTTGATCGCCGGCGTATTCGAAGAACGTAACGCAAGGTGGACATCGTCGATGGGTTCTAGTGTAAAGTGGACACCACTTTGACACAATCCACCGGACGTGACCGCAGTGGAATTCGCGCTCAGTGTAGTTGCACATCCCCGTCGTGTTCAGCTGAATTGGAATCGATGGCTGCTAAATTGCTGTGAAGGGAGCGTATGATGCACACATGTAATATAGCATACGCGAGGGTGGGGTTACCCTCGGGCACGTTCGATCGTCCGCAGGTTCGTCTTTCCAATGATTGGCTTTCAACTTGTATCGTGGTCTGGGGTTTTGCAAGGAGCTGAAGTATCGTGCGGTCAAAGTGACGGACAATCGCGCCCTAATGATACGAACGTGCATGCCTCCCACGGGTATAGATCGCCTTCGTTGAATGACGTTTGCTCGACATGCCACAACCTAGATGTAGAGAGGTGACGGCGCTATGAAGAGCCGCTTCCGATCGAGCTCTTGTACGCGTCGGGCTATCTACATACGAGAGTCGAATTGATGTCTACGCTATAGTAAGCGAGGGCGCAGGGCCAAATCACATCGCAGCAAGCCTGCCAGCGCTCTGCGCGGCTCCAGAGGATGATGGCGAGCCGACAATAACGAACCCCACGCAACGTCTGGCAGGGTCACCCAGGTGAGAAAAAGAAAAAGACCGAAATGCCTATCCAAGCAACAGACATACACTCTGGATGGCCCTGTGCGACTGCGTCGAATTACAGGATAGAAGTCGTTGCCTATGGCAGTCCAACAACGCATCTGACCTGCATACTAGTGTTGAAGCGATGCATACTCTGGACCCGACGGAGCCGGCATCGATCTGAACGGCGGCCCCTTCTGGCCTCCGTCGCACTATAGAAACAGAGAGGAAAGTACACCAGGATGCTGTTCACGCTATCGGCAGGCCAAGAGCAGGGTCGCGGACATCTTCCCCCGTTGGTCCAACGGCCGTAAAGTCTCCCTCCCCCCGGGATGACTGTCTGGTGCACTCCATACAAACAGTGGCGCCAAAAGCGCATCACGTTTGCATTTATGGATCAATCGTACCACCGTTGGCCCCTTTTTCGGAAGTCACAGCAGTGTACCTCACGTCCGCGGGACTCCGCCACCGAGCTTGGCCCTGGCGCATTACCACAGGCACTACAAGGTCGGTATTCCATGCAGCATGGACGGGTGCGTTCGGACCTAGCTATGCTGGGCTCGTGAAGTCGGAGTCGGGGTCATATGATATACTGGACGATTGGAATGCTTCCTTCAATTGCTGCCCCTTTATTGCAATCCAACTAACCGTCGTGCGATTGCTGCGCTTGAGGGGAAAGGTCAGAACCCTGTGAAGAGTCAGTAGACTCGACTCACATAATTTCGCTCTTGGAGGCGTTACTGTTTCTCCATAAGTCGAGCAGGAAAGGGGCGTCCTCGCAGCCAGACCATTTTTCCAATGGCAAGCGCCGCTTGATTCATACTCAAGAGCGATAGCACAGCTCCGGACTGCTCAAATCTGACATAGCATTATGATGACGTTTTTGGAACAATCTACTTGGGTATACTGTATTGCGAGCCGTTCTAGGACATGAGGGTGCAAATGGGCACTCGGTAGTCGGTGCTTTGGGGTGTGCCCTTTTATTAGTCGGCCGTGTGGTGGGCAGCGCACGAACGGTGCTAATTGACCAGCTCAACGAGTGGATCTCATCTTCTCCATCAGGGCCTGCCCGCTATCCGTCTCCGTCAACCATGTTGGAGCCTGTTGCTTCAACACTATCGAGCCCAGTTGCTTTCTCAGATGAGTTTTGGAGCGGTCAATCATGTGCTCCCAGATAACCACGTCCTTAGGTCTCTGGCACTTCTTACATTTGGACGTATACTGGTATTCCGCATTCACAATCACCTTGCACGGCTTCTGGTTTGTCCAATAATCGGCACACCACTCTGCAGCACCAGTCATCCAGTGCCCACAGGCGAAGATTCGGTAACACCAATCGCACATGTTGATGATGACAGGTGGCACTAATCCTCTGAAGCAATCGGTTCTGGGTAACTGTCAGTATGAGGAGACGTGAAGAGAAGTACTACCCAGCCCTACCTTCGGAACAAGAAAGTCGATGTGGCTGTGACTGGCGCTGCTTTTGCAGTGTCCCGTCAGTGCAGGGACGGGATGCTGGTGAGGGCGGCTCGTACTGGGCGTAGATGCAGGAGTTAATCGAGAAGAGACCCTCGACTGGCCAAATTGCTGTGAAGCGCTCAGATATACGCACGAGTTTCCCGCAACTTACTCACGTGACACATCCATTCCGCTCGGGTCCCCGGCGGGCCTTCAACAGATGGCCCCCTACGGTGATTGAGACATGGCTGAGTGAGTTGGCCAATCGCCGGGGTTGGGAGCTGCGAATGCGGGGTCGGGCTCGTGCCATGCGATAGATGTGGGGGCTGGAAAAAGCCCTCGACAATCGAGGAGTCGAGAGACTTGGGACAACGCGCCGGTACAGCAATCTCGTCGATCTCGCCTGCGAGAGCCACCTGGGCACCCAATTTCAGTTTGTGGCCCGTGGATGTACCGATATCAGGTAGAAGATCCTCCGCCCTGGTAAGTGACTGATTTCCCATAGCTCCTGGAAGGTAGACGCAGGTGCTGGGTGCACGCAGCCGGGACACTAGTGGCGGGCGTTGGTAAGAGTACCTGCAAGCCGAGAGTTTCGTGGCCCGCCAAAGATTGCCGACTTCCATGTCTCGATTGAAGTCCACGATGTACTCAGTAGATTGGCTGGAGCGGAGATCCAGCGTCAGCAGATGCACGCCGTTGCATCACGCTTTACTCTTTTGGCCGAACTCGCAAAAAATTGCGAGTTCATCGAAACCGGTAAGCGTGAAGCAAGGGCGTGCATATCATGATACCAGGGTTCAGAGCTCGACGTGTACAATCAGGGCCAAGACTCGGAGCTAGCCTGCTTGGCTTTGTCCGCACAACATTGGCTTGAATGGTAAGTAGTATCTACAGGGGTTGGGCACATGCTGGGGTGGGTGAAGAGACGATGTAGCTGCAGCAGATGCACACCCTACGGTGACGCCTTACTCTTTTGGCCGAACTCGAAGAAAACTGCGAGTTCGGCGGAAACGGTTAGCGTAAGGCATGGGTGCACATCACCATACTAGGGTCGATAACGCAGCGCATAGTATCGCTGAGCGCAGAGGGTGTCGAAGACAGAACCCAAGCTAGCCGGCTCAGAACTATGCGCACACTCCACGTGTAAGTATTGTGAAGGGTGGGGTGGACATGGGAGGATAAGAGTGGATAAGAAGCTGCAACAGATGAACACCCCACGGCGACGCTTTACCTATTTGGCCGAACTCGCGGAAAGTTGGGAGTTCGGTGCACGTGTAGAGTAGGTGGGCGTGAGGCCCATCGAATCCAAGCAGGGGATCAGGGACTCAGTGGGGCGATCAACTGCGCTAGCCCGTTTTGCCGAACTCGCAAACTTTTGCGAGTTCGCTCAACTTGGTAAGCGTGAACTCGGCTGGTGCCACTGAGCTCGCTCCTGAAGCAGGCGCCCGCGTCTCTTCGTCTCCCGTCAACTCGTCTTTCCACACAATCGATCCGCATCCTGACAACGATTGAGCGGCGTCAGACCAGCATCGACGCAGTACGCCAGCCTGACCGCAAAAACCGAGCCTGCTAGCCATTGACAGCTCGCCGCGCCGACGCCCTGGTTCAAGAGACATGCCCTACGCCCGCGGACGATGCGGGTCTCTCTTCCGCGGTCCCAAGAGCTCCCTCCGCCAAACCCGACTCCGCCCTCCGACAATGACAACCCGACGCTCCTCGAAGATAGACCCGAGTTGAATGCATCCCCTGCCTTGTCTGCCTTGAGACAAGAAAGTAAAAAATGGCAAGACTCTCCCAAGGAATTCTTCGCAGCTGTACCAGATAGTGTAACCAAGTACGACCGCAAGAGCCCGGTGGACTTCATACGAGGGACGATCGCGTTCAGGATTAGAGCTGGAGAGTTCTTTCGGTGTCGAAAGACATGGGGACACCGTGGACGAAGAGCCTTTAGGGCTCACGTGGCCCGTTGCAAAACAGCGTTATCCTCGATTGACCACGCCAGGTGGCTGGAGTTCGGGAGGACTACGGACATGATTCTTCGAAGACATGCCGCCGGTACCATCGTGGCGAGCTGCCTGGTAATTACAGATGCAACGTCAGCTCTCTCATTCTCACGGGCAAGGACAATTCATTGACTATGAATAGTTTTCGCTCTGTCCCTCAAGCGGAAGACCATCCCAAGCACATGGAGTTTTTCGAACAGCTTGATGCGCCAGAAGCCAAACAATATGCGGAAGAATTTGCAGCCCTTGAAAAGGCGTTGTGGGACTACATCGTCAAAGACTATAGCTGTCTGAAAAATAAGATTCGCACGCACCGCTCGCACCGCACTACAGGCCGTCCCCGCCCTCATGGGGCCCATCACAACCATTCATGCAATACTTTACTCTCTGATGAGCCACATCAAGTTGTCTTCGACAGCTTGGCCAAAGCCCTTCCGCCCCAGAATACAGATCGAAGCGATCCCGTCGACGGGCAGTCGGCCTTGGTCGATCAACGGCAACCTCCTTGTGCGATAGCCCAGTCATATGAGCATGCCAGGATGCTTTACAGCACTCCAATATCTCAACAATCGCCAACCCAACAGTCACAACAATGTCTATCGTCCTCCGTTCACAACCCCACCACTCCTCACTTTTACAGTGGAAGCACAGCGGAAATGTCATCGCATCCGGCATGCATATCGCAGCTCTGGCCCTCGACCAACACGATCCCGACGGCTCCAGAATGTATCGGTCATCTGCCTCAACAGGACTTCGCCACACAAGCCGTGACGAGCACTCCGCTTCCTGCGTTCGATATCTGCCTGGCGGGTTCCCAGCACTGCTCGATGGGCTCTTTGCCTACACATCCGCACAGGATGCAGACTCCTCTGGCGGAACAGATCACCGCGAGTCCTTACATGGCTGGGTACGAACAATACCAGTCTCAGGCATCGTTGTCGACGTTCGGCAGACCTGTCCACGATCCCTCCCACCTCAGGATGAATCTTCAAGGGCAGTTTGTTGCAGAGGTCCCGTGGGAATGCGTTGAGAATCAAGATTTTCAAGGTAGCTATCATCCACATGCCATAACTCCAAACACGACCATAACGGACCTAAGCCGGCTCCGTCCCCAACTCCAGGGTCCAGGATTCGGCACCGGCAGCGCACTGTCTAACGTGAACGAAAGTGCCATGATGAACTGCACAGTGGCATTCGCGGAATCCGAGACATATTACTTGCACAGGCAACCAGGGGGAAACAGCCAGGAAGTTGATGTTGCCTCAACGATGTGTACAACGAATATGGCATCTTTGGGAGACATAAGACAGCGCATACAATATTAGCAAGGCCTAAGTACTACGAAGATGAAGAGGATCGGCTTTTCGACCGGCGTCAAAGAAACCTGTGGTTCTAGCAAGTAATATACGCCAGTGTCCCATTCCAGGT